TGCTATAGCCCATTTGCAGCTACAAATATTTATTAACTAGTTTGGCCTAAGGTTTAATTTTTCCATAAATGGCAGGTGATGTCGTATTACACTCTTCTGAGCAATGCTTTCTGGTTATATTCTCCTATAACCTGCTTTTCTGTTAACTGGCCTGAGATGTACCACTATGGAAATTGAACAATTGGGATCCATTATGGTCAGAACTGATAAAACCTTAGGAAGAGATCCACACACTGATAATAAAAAATACTATTTCCTTAAGTGATGTGAAATTGTGGTAGCATACACTGGATCTGCACACATTCCTCTCCTTGAGTCTTCCTGGATAGAAGGAGGCATGAGTGTTCTGAAGGAGGAACAAACACAAGTGGGCTGCAGCATCCTTACCTAATCCTCACCATGTATGACTGGTCTGCATCAATGACCACTATGTCTTTGCCCAGTGGCTTTGCTCATTCTTTTTACTCTATCCCCTCCCCAGTTAGGCCCCAGACAGTAGGTGTGAGATCTGGATATTCTCACCTGTGATGCGCTATTTCTTTTCTCTAGAGGCCAGATTTGGTTTCTAACAACCACCTGTATCATCTTGCTGGGACCCTTTGAAATGGGTGCCAGATTTACTTCACTATGGCTGGAGGTCACCATGAACTCTCAGATTTATTTCCCTTGGGCTCTAAAATCTGCCAGGATTAGACAGCAGTTTAATCTTTGCATGTGTTCTATTAGATCCTGGTTCATGACCCTTGATGCTCATTCCCCACCCCACCTGTGCCTTATTAATTTTCTTTGATTCTAACGAGGGCCAATTCCAGTAGAGGTACAAGTCAGGCTCCTTCATCATTAGTCAGAGTTCCCAGTAAATTGTGCTGGAAATCCTTAGCATTTTAGCAATGTAGTTCTTTCTCCCCTATGACTAATAGGCGAACTAGGCTTATTTCTGAGTTCAAAAGTCTCTCTCTGGGTCACTTAATTGTTCCTGTTTGGTTATTTCATTCCCCACAACATTTCTCTCACTATTTATTTTCCAAAAACTTTTTAAGGCAAGGTAACCCTTTGTTGATCTCACAGGTTGCAGGGACCTTGTCAGTTTACAATCCCTTATTTTTTATTTTTTACACCTATGGCACCTGGTCTTTCTAGGTGGTCTCCCATCCAAGTACTAACCAGGCCCGACCCTGCATAGCTTCCGAGATCAGATGGGATCAGGCTTGTTCAGGGTGGCATGGTCGTAGACCTATTTTCAAATTTGAAGACTTGCTTGTTCCTGTGCTTTCTCCCACTTTAGCATCCTGAGTCCCTCGCCAAATAAATCTGACAATGTTAGATGTTTTGATTTTTGTCTAACGATTTTAAAATGTGATTTCAAAGGGAGTTCTAATTCATAATTCTCTGGTAACTATTGTAGATGTGCATAATTTTGTATAGACTTAGTGGTCATTTATATTTCCTTTTTCTGTGAAATGCCTATTCACATCTTTTGACCATTTTTCTCTTGGATTATTGTTAAATATTCTGGATATAATCCTATGTAAATTATGTGTGATGCAAATAAATCTAGTTTGTAGATTTTGGGTTTTCTTTCTTTAGAGTGTACTTCTATAAAAGTTTCTGATTTTAATGTGGCCAGATTTATGAACCTTTCATTTTTATGTTTTTTTTAATTTGTATCTTACTTAATAAATATTTCCCTACCTCAAAGTCATACAGTTATTTCTTTTACATTTTCATTTGAAAGTTTTAATGTTTTGTCTTCAACATTTTTCTCCTTAGTTCATCTGGAATTTGTTTTTATGTATGATTAATGTATATACAATTATTACAGTGTCATTTATTGAATAGTACATCTTTTACCCACCTGTCTTTAGTGCCCACTCTTCAGATACAAGGGCGCCTGCTGCTGTCTTTCCCTTCTATTCCATTGGTCCGGTTTGTCCACACACTCTACCACTATCAATAGTGCATGGTTTTAACTACAGTGGCATTATAATATCTTGTTATATTTTAGGGAAGTGCCCCAACTTCCTCTTTGTCTTTAGCAGTATCTTGCCTCTTCCCAACCTTGTACATCTTCATTTTAGAATAAATTTGTCCATATTCCATAAACACCCTATAGAGATTTTTCTAGGAATTGTATCAAAGCTATAAATCATATTGGGGAAGACTGACATTTTTTGTAATATTGAGGCTTCCTAACCATGATTATGGGATATCTTTTGATTTAAACAGAACTTCATCAGTGTCTTTCAATGCTTTTAATTTTCCCATTAAGATCTTGCATGTCTTTTCTTTCTGAGAATTTATTACTGATTACTATAAGTTTTCCATTAAATCAGATTATTTCATCACATTTCCTACCTTTTTGATTTGATAGAAAAATGCAATTAAGATTTTGTGTATTTATCCAACCACCTTGTTATACTTATTAATTCTTATGTCTTAAATTCTTTTGTATTTTCTCTGCAATCATATCATATCACCTATAAATAATGAAAGCTTGCTTTCTTCCCTTCTAATCCTTCTAACTTTTCTTTCTTTCTACTTTCCGTCTTATTTGTTAATTTTTTGGCTATTGTTAAAAGCCACCCCTCTTTCTCTGCCTAATTAATTCTACTATGTCTTTTTCCATTTCACATTATAAAATTTGACTTTTTATAAGGGTCTACCTCTTTTTAATTCAATGCCAATAATGGAATTTTTGTTCTTAGCCTTGAACTGTTGGTGAAAATATTCTCAGCCAGATAAGAAGAAAAAAATGTTCTTTCCTGCCCCCGAAGCTGGGGACAAGAATGAATGTGTTTTATTAACATAAATTTGTCTTTGTAAATAACAATGATAATTTATCAAACTCCTAGACTTCAAAGACTTTAGACAAGACCTTTTAAAATGACCCTTACCTGTAAAACATCTGTAATTTTGACCACTCATCTTTCTTAATAATTTAGTGCTATGGTGATAATATTAACATCTCCATCTACAGGAAGGTAAAATATTTTGTGAATATTTTATGTCAAGTTAGAAAAGAATCATTAGCAATCCCCTTTTCTTACACACACAGAATAAAATGACTCTACTGGATTTTTATTAAACAACGTGTAAGAGACTGTTGGATGACTGATCCAAGCAAAGAATGGAGACACAAGGAGCTTAAAAATGAGCCCACAATAAAAATAATAATAAATTTTTAAT